GGGCATTTGCAAAAGCTGCCCGGGACCAGACTGAGTGGCGCCGGCCTTGCGCGCATGTGCAAGGCGGGAAAAGACCGCCTTGTGATTGGTTGGAATTGCCCGGGGATCAGAAGGTATAAATAGAGGCCTGCGTGCCTCTGCTCGGGTTGTTCGTGGAATGGAAGCAGAGAATAAAGACCTATTAGAAATGCATCGTCTCAAGCGCCATTATTCTCCGGACATAACACTGGCGACGAGGATGGGATTCAGTCTAAACAGCTAGGGAAGCTTGAAGACTCACCCAAAGAAGTCCGGAAGAGGAACGACGGCGTTGAAGTCAGCGTTTATCCTGCCAGTACGAATTCGCTGGAGGGTGCGTGCGACTGAAGAAAAAACCTGCTCCTCGATCATGGCGAAAATTGGGCGTTTAGCGGAATTCAATGTCTCTCACCCCGAGAAGTGGGAATCCTATGTTGTCAGAGTCGAGACTTACTTCCGCGTAAACCAGATAAGGGAGGAAGGCCTAAAGGCTGCCACAATGTTGTGCGTTTGTGGGCAAGACGACTTTGAGATCACCAAGAACCTAATCGCCCCGGCCTCGCTGGAAACGGTGTCATAATTAGATCTGAAGAAAGTCTTGAAGGAACACTTTCAGCCCAAGCAATCTGTCATTGCTTGGAGGCACACATTTGAGCTGAGGGATCAGCGAGCTGGGGAATCAGCAAAAGAGTACATTGCAGCTTTGAGAAGAGCAGCTAAACCGTGTGATTTCAAGGACTTAGAGGAAAGACTGCGCGATCGTTTTGTGTGCGGACTGAGGAACAGAGACTTACAACAGAAGCTGTTCACAAAGGAAGATGTCTCTTTCCAAGATGCTCTGCGAGAGGTTTCGGCAGAAGAAGCTGCAGGTGGGGCGGTCAAGAACATGCGGCCTAATCGAAGCGCTCCAGAGACCGCCACCATCCACAAGGAAGACGTGCGAGAGGATTCGGAAGAAGATCCTGAAGAAGAGGTGGACAAGCTTTACCAAGCAGCTGGGAGGAGGTCCAAAGATCATCAGGACAAGGGCCCAGCTGAGCTTCGTTGCCTCGGATGCGGTGGTCGCCACAAGCGAGCGGAATGTCGGTTCCGTTCCGCCAGTTGCCGAGCGTGCAGAAAGAAAGGCCACATCACTGCGGTCTGCCTGGGTCGACAGAAGGTACAACCGAAGGAAGAATTGAATCTGAAAGGTACCAGGGTGCCCAGCCAAAACAGGGTGGGGTTCTGTGCAACACGCCGGAACATTTTAAGAATAGGCACACACAAACCCCTTAAAAAGAAACTAACACTTAAAGTGAAATTGCAGGGAGTTCCATTGTCGA